CCTAACGTGTGTCTTTTGGGTCAACGGTGAAAAAACTGACGGCCAAGCTTTGTTCAAACAGGTCATGAGTAGGAAATAGGTCGCCTCGGAGGTGACAATAATCCAAAGAAAGAGGTCAGGCACCGCGAGAGGCGCTTCGTTGTCTACGGATTTGAGGCTGACAACCATTTTCGATCAGTGAGGGTGACGTCTTTCCTGTGTTCTGAGCAGACAACCTGGTTGGCGCATTCTAGGAACGGCCTGACGTCGGGCTCAGAGCATTTGGAAATCCATGCAAGTAATACGGGAGAAGGTGTGCCAAATCATCCGTTAAATGGCGAATGACTTTTGGGCCGCTTTGCAGTAAGGAGGGAAGGTTTGAGCAGACCCAGATACCCAAATTCTTTTTGGCGTCTATCCCCATGAAGTTTTCTGATCCTTTCTCGCCAAGCTTGACGAAGGCACTTGCTGAGTCTCCTCCAAATGAAATATGGGCGCAATTTCGTCATTCCGGAGAAGGTACCGGGCCAGCAACCACTCCTACGCAGATTGTACATTCGACTGGCGAACATTGGCATTAGAACTCCAGGATTTCAAATCGTCCATGAAAAGTAGGCATGGACTTGCAAGAACATCTGGAGGGTCGTTGACGTAGATCAGAGACGGGGCATTAGAACTCCAGGATTTCAAATCGTCCATGAAAAGTAGGCATGGACTTGCAAGAACATCTGAAAGGTCGTCGACGTAGATCAGAGACGGCAGTGGTCACAGAACGGAGCCTTGAGGAATTTCAACGGAATTCTGCGCGTGAGAGGAGTAGGTAGAAATTACCTCCACTCAAAATGATCTGTGTGATAGGAACGTCTTAATCCAGTGGAGGATTTTCCCTTGAATGGTGTAAAACTCGAGTTTATGAAGCAGCGGGACGCGTGGAACCCTAGCAAATGCTTTTGAGAAGCCGAAAAATATGGCATCCGAAATGAATCCCTCGTCCTTGGCTCGTAAATACGAGCATGTTATTCACGCAAGAACGGTTTGGGAGAAATCCGTGTTGAGCTGGGCACATCAAGTTGTTGGAAGTAGGGTGATCTAGGATAGCTCGGTTCAGAGTGCGTTTCATTGCACTGCATGGCACGCTAGTGAACCTTATATGCCTGCAGCTGCCGGGCGATAGTCGGTTACCAGTTTTGTAGATTGGCGTGACGATCGCCTCCTCTCCAACAGAGGGAACGCGGCCTTCGTCAAGCGACTGACAGAAAACTAGGTATAAATAATTTGCCAGTGTAGACGACGTTTCCATTAATATTCTTGGATGGGCCAATTCGGGCCGCAACGCCCAGAATGAGTTTATCCAATGCAAGAATTGGCAAATGTCCTTTATAGTGAAGACCAAGTCGGTTAAAGGTTGTTCGCAGTTACGCTTTGACAAGAGTGAATGTGATGAGGACGCTAAGGCTGAACATAAATCTGCATAGTGTTTCATGTAAACTTCAGATACAACCCTTGAGTCGCTCGCGGGTTCCCCGTTACAGTCTCTCAAGGAAAACGCGAATGGCCTGTTTCTGAGGTGGTCTCATGTATGTGAAAAACACATTTCTAATTTTCCGGACAGTTGATACCTTTATTCGGCAGACGCCTAATACTTTTGTGCGGCTTGTGGCTCGTCCGACTGCGTGCCGGGTTTTTAAGAGGAACATCGCGTCAGCCACGTAAACTTTCTGGACCATGGTCCCATGTAACTCTTTCACTGAAGCTGGTCCTAGTGTAACTTGTTCAAGGAAGATGCGCATTCTCGAGAAGTCTTCACGGCAGAAGTCTCGAAACCACGTTTGAGATTCGGGATTTCTGGAGCAGTTACAGATGAAATCGAGGGTCAGCACTCAGTGGCCGCTTTGTCCCAGTATAGTGTTAATTGTTACCCGATCAACGAAGTGATGACTAAATCCAGGAGGGATGGTAGTTGGCCTGCGCGGTATCTGGTTGGTGCAACGACATGTTGAGCCCAAGCGCTCTGTTGAACGACTTTAATCAGCACCGCTGCGAATAGTCCGCTTGATCCGACGCGCTGGAGATCCATCCAGGAAGTCATTGGAGAGTTGAAGTCACCTACCAGCAGGAGGTGAGTGAAATGGAGGAGAGTTGCTCAAGGGTTCGTATGATGAATTGTTCATCTTCAGGGGGATCCGAGGGGCTACGGTAGACCACACCAAGAAGGAGAGAATCAGACCCTTGCAGTGGGGTTTGGATCGACAGTGCATCGTAAAAAGTTGTAGGAGTGGTATCGGAGATGACAATCGGGATCGGAAGGGTCGCATGTAAGCACAGAGCAACCCCACCAGCCCTCCTTCGTTTTGAGTCGGCTCAAAAAACAGAGTAACCGTCTATTGAGATATCCTCGTCAGAGACATCTGGTGTGAGCCAGGTCCCTGTGATTGCGATTATGGACGGTTGTTCAAGGCAAGCCGATTGTTTAATATCGCTACGTTTGTTGAAAAGGCTGAGACAGTTCGTGGACAAGCAATACCACGCTGTTTCTGCTGCCCGTAGGAGAAAATTTCGGCCATGGTAACTTGTAGCTCTTTCAGCACCGCATTCTGGATGACCAGATTTGCTGCTGATAAAGATTAAAGGCAAACTTTCGTCTTTCTGGTTTCTTGAGCGTTTTAGCACAGGTTGATCGGCCCTGAGCGCTGGGTGGCGGCACCAAGAAGTGATTCCGTTGGTGGCGCTCCCATGAAGCTCGTATTCTCGGGGGCTGCACCTTGAAGCCAGCCAGCAATTTCTGATTTGGTGAATCTGAGGTGGCTTGTTTGGCTGCAGTTGCCTTTCTTTCGTGTTTATGTGGACACCCGATCCACCGACGATCAGCGTGGCCAACTGGGTTTAGGAGAGATCATCCGGTTTGCTGTAGTCACGTTTGTGACTTCTGCTGTTGGGATCCTGAGCAACTACTCTGCCCACAAGCAAAGAGGCCATCCTTGGTGGAGTGGGGCTGGAGATTTCCAGTTTCACATTCTCAGTGGTCGTACGTTCGTCGAAACATTCCCCAATGTCGAGGTCAACGCATGGGGTTGATTTGTCGGTGGGCTCCGCTGCTTGTCCCCGCACATCTGACTCAGTTGAATTCAGAAGCTGTCACTTTGGTGAGGAGCTCACTGCTGCATCTTTGTCGTATGTTACGGAAAGAAGGGCTGATAGCTCCACGCAGTTTGGGCACCGCTTCCACGCGAGGCCTGCCTCCTCCAGAGTATCACTGCCTTTGGTGGACGAGAGGTCAGCGGCGGCTGAATAGAAACTACTGTCCGGAGACGCGGCCGGCTGCTTCGGCATGCTTTTGGAAGCACAATGGGCTATGACTACAACGGGTTTGGTCATGAGTTTGAGGCGTGCTGAACTGGCGCCAAGCGGAAGCCTGTTTTGCGCCTCTATCCTAGCACTGCTGTGACCAAGTTTTCGCGCCTTCAGAGGGCGATCCTCAAATGGACGCCTGTTAATTGAGTAGGACTTCTGAATGCTGCCAGCCCTCTCCATGATCTTCTGTGCGGCAGATGGGAAGATACGGTGACTGGGAGCTCAAGTGTTCGCCCGCTTCGCTACTGGCGTAATCATTTTGTGTGAAGCGATTGATGATCAGACTTAGTGGGAACACTACCAAAGAACGACTATGCCAGCTTCGTTGACAAGATTTTTCTTGAGAATGACCCCCAGATTATCATTCTGCACTTCCTCAAGCGGTTGTCCATTAAAGACGCTGTGGCGGTCCCAACTGCCGCATCAGACAGTTGAACGATCCTCCTCGCAGTCAGCGGACCAGACATGGATAGTGTGAGGTACTCGTTCAGCGAAGAAAGCTGCTTCTCAAATTTCGCTAAGGTCGTTGCGTTCTTTGTGTCTGCATCCTCAATCGCTTTAGAAAGAGGCTCTATTATCGCGTCGAGTGGAGCACTCACACCCGTATTTCTAAATCAGCAATGAGGATTAGGTTTCGTTTTTGGTGGCCCTCTTCTCAGCTGCGATATGCACTGCACCCATAATGTAGAGGCAGCTGGCGCAGACGAACGGATCAGCTCAATGGCTTACCCCGTCGTCCTAGAAGCCCGTCCAGTTGAAGTGCCACCAGGCCTTGCAGGCATGACATTGAACATCGCGTCTTACGTTCGACGGACAACCATTCCGCCTACATCCGTTCTGGTTCATCAAAGGCCACAGAGAGTAGTCTGTATTCATGAACGTTATGGTTGACACTGGGTGCAAAATAGGAGCTGAGCGCAAGATAGCAAGGGTTATCCTGTGAATGTTATGTTAGAGTGAGGAAATTCAACAATGACTCGTGTGTAGTCTGTGAATAGATAGAACAACAAAAAGATTTCGCGAATTCACAGGAGGGAAAACGAACCGATTTCGAACGTACGCGCAGGAACCACAAGAGCAGTCCGAAGCATGTGACCAGGCTTTTATTGCGCGAAGTTGCACATGTGAAATTTTTTGTAGTTGCTCGGATCAAAACAAAAAACGTTTATAAAATTGTCAAAATACGCATTGTTATATTGGAAGCAGGCTCATTACAAGTTGGGAAACCAACCGATTATTTTCATAATTATTGTCATTGAATATTCCCACTGTTTGACACGATCTTCTTTTTCGCGCACTCTCCAGGACCCGCATATACCCTCAGTCATTCTTTATTTTGACTGTAAACATATAAACATGTCTGACGGTATACCACCCACAAGTTGGAAATAAACATTATAATTGTGATAATAGTAAATATTATTATAAGCCACAAAACACAATGAGAGATTGAAAAAACCGCTAATTTGTATTCGCCTTTGAGACAAAACTCCGAATAGTAACAGCCTCTGCCACGCTTGACATAGAAAGTTTGGGCACTCGCTCCAAACTCTTTTATTTCCCATTTATTCTTTGGACCGCTTTGATTAGCATTTATACCCGTACAAACCTATTTCGGACTTCGGTTGCATCAAGTTATCCATCTCAAGGTCAAGCGCCAAACCGTCCAAATGGATCGCCTCCGTTCGTTGCGCACTAAACTGGATGATTATTTACATAAGGATAACCCTTTCAATGACCTTTTAAAGAAGGCTGAAGAAAAAACAAAAGTCGACCGGGTCAACCTGGTTCTTGGTACGATGTAGATCTTCTTTTCTGATTCTGCAGGTGCAATCGTAATCTTTGTCGTGTATTTGATATTTGGCTATGGCACGAGCTTCCTTGCCAGTTTCGTTGGCTTCCTTTACCCAGCCTATCGATCGTGAGTCCCCCATGATTAAGTCATTTCTTTAGAATTAAGGCACTAGAAACGGAAGATAAGGAGGATGATAAAAAATGGCTGACCTACTGGGTCGTTTTCGCTGCCGTGAGCGTCTTCGAAGCGTTCACAGATATTCTGTTTTACTGGATCCCACTCTATTCACTTCTGAAGGTACTTTGGAACTAAATTTATATTATTTTTAGTGTTGTATGTTCCTCTTCATGATGATTCCAACAGAACCCAACGGCTCCGTGTTGATATACCAGCGTATTATACGCCCCTACTTTTTGAAACATGAGAAGAAACTTGATGATGCTGTGAAAGCTGCATCAGACTTGGCAGGTGATTTCAGTCAAAACGGTAAGTTTTGTTTTAACTCATCGTGTGGTTGAATTCCATGTTACTATGGGGGTTTGCTTCTTCCTGAGTGCCCCGACTCGCCCACCAGGCGTTTAGCTGCTGTCGAGGTGCGTGCGGTCTTGTTTACGTGCAACCGATTGCAAGGACAAAAACTTCTATTATTCCATGTAGTTTTGGATGCTACGAGAGTCAACTTGTTCGAGGGCTGCCTCATCTCCGCGTTCACACGTAGTTGACAGTACTTGACCAGTCAGCCTACCGTTTCAGTCTCTGTAAAAGGGAGGTCTTCACTTATGGCACATCATCACTATCAGCTGTAAGAACCGCGTACTTGCCAATAAGTGGTTGTGGCTGCCACAATTTCGTCCACCGACGATTTGGGGAGGCAGGGTATGTATCTGCGCATTGGAGGCGAGAGCTGATATATAAAATACAAGTCTCTGAGTGGAGTTTTAAGTGAGGTTAGGACCATTGAGGACGCGACTGGGCCATGTCTGAAACTGTCCAACCATTGATGTGGTCCGTCTCGGTGTCCCTATCTATGGGGACGGTAATGACCAGCGCAGCTGAGTTTACCGGTAGTAGGTTTCACACACTGTCCCGAGCACGGGACAGCACAGTGGTTAAGATGCGAATTTAGTGACCGGAAGACTCATGGTTCGAACCTAACCTTCCCATCGCGATTGCATTTGTCTAGGCTTGCGCAATCTGGCAATATCAGCCTTCGTGCGATGGTTTAACAACTAAGTATCAAAAGGGTGCTACAGCTGAACAGTGATATATTATTCTGGTCTTCTTCGTATGACTTGATTCCTGACCCGACGTCTTAGTTGTCAACATATCTGGAAACCTAGTCTCAGCTGCATCGTATTTCATACTTGAAGCACGTCATCAGTCGCCGTGGTTAACCCGAGTGAGTGACGCACACAGGTGAACAAAGGTTTGGCAGTTGACTCGGATTTCGCTGCTAGTTTCTCGAATTCTAGGCGTTTAGTAGTTTTTATATGTTTGATCCTCTTATCCTCTGTGCGGTTGTATCGTCCTCAAGGGTTTGGCACTTGTCAGGTCGGCCAGCTGTAATGAACGTACCATATACAGGGAGATGTAAATGGTCCTTCGCGAGCTGTTTATTGTGCCCTTGGTGTGCGTATTTTCAAACAAAGGGGCTTGTACCTTTCCTCAAGACATTTCGCATCGTAGTAGTGCATTGTAAAGGTAGCGTCACGAGATTTAAATGAAAGGTTGAAGAAGCGTGGTCGAAGTAAATGTAAACGAACTCGTAATCGCCCCAACTATAGAACCCGGCTGGAGTTTTGGGCAGAATATGGGTTAGATGAGGTCACTTGACCAAATTGTTAATTTAGGTACAGGCTTCATAATATTGTTTGAGGTTGTTGCCCCGGTCGATGTAACGTCTCCCGGGACAAGGTGCCTATATCCCCCTGATATACTCGCTTAGGGTCTGTTAGAGACCCCTTGTTCGGTTGATGTCGCTTTTGTGTGCCAACCCTCGTTGGACTTCTTCGCCTTGCACTACACGCGTATACTGAATTGTTCATTCCACCAGGGCGACATGCCTCTGCCTTTCCCATGTAGTCCCATTGGAATGCACTTTATTCTTTAATGATGGTCGATGAGCTACCTAATTCGCTCGTCAGCCACGATCCTGTCCATGTGGTAGGTAAAAAGGACAAGGTTCCCAGGCCTTTCAGTTTGTCACATTTGCTCAGAATTCCCTTTGTGTTCATGAACGTGGTCAAGTCTCGAGGTTCACGGCTGAATGGCGCTGCTAATGTGGTTTGCGCGAGAAGTGTGGTACAATGATCGGTTGCACGGGGACGGCATGCCTCAACGTACTGTCGGTTTCAGCACGTCATTTGAAGAACTCATATAAAGCGGTTGCTCTTGGCCAGCCCTATAATTATATTGGGCCTTTTGTGGGTGATCCTATAAGGATGCCATTTTTACGCGTGAATATAATGGACCCACAGCAACCGATCCTAAGTACTCGATGTAGTCCCCGCTTTCTGGAATCCTTTGGACTCGGTCGTTGTAATAACTCTGATGGATCCTTCGATATGGCGGCGTCTTCCCATCGAAAACGGCGCACGCCACTCGAAACCTTATTCTCGATTGGCTGTATAGTTGATCCCCAATCGAAGGCCATGATGTCGGCACAAATTCAACTCCATTCATCCTTGGAGATTGATCGATTGCTTGCTTCTTGAACCGGAATGTGTAGGCCATGTAATATCAATGCTTCCGCGTTGTACAGGGTCGGCGGTTGTGCTTTTGAGCAATGAGATTTACGTCATCCTTGTGGATGCATGTTGTGTCAGGATCTTCGACCCTTTCGCTCTCGTAGGAGCTGTTGCGCAGGACATAAATCATCAGGGCGGTGTTCGTACTATACCCATTGTGCTCAGTAGTTAGAGTACGAATTCACTGACCGGGCGGTCCTTGGTTCAAACCGACCTCTGCCTCTCAACTTCTCCCATCTAGATTTGGGCAACCTGGCAGTATTCTAGTCCTCGTGCATTTTTCTAATGACATGCCCATTGGGTACCCAAAGGGTGTTACAGCTGAACGATTTGTTCCATTATGCCGCATTAGAATTCAATGCTCCCCGGATTTCTAGTAAGATGACTGTTGTTTCCGGAATAACGCAGACTGCTTATCAGACCCCTTGTGGTTTAGAAGAAGGATATTTATAGAATTACGCCAAATTCGCAGAACGGTGAAGCATCGGAGTTGAATACTGGCTTTGCGCTGTCGATGGTGGTGCTAAATTTCGGCGCCGTTTTCGCTGCTCGTCTTCCACGGTTGGGTTTAAGTGACGGTCTCTTTGCTTGGGCTTAGGCGTTACGAGATTCAACTGTTAATCGGTACAGACAGTGTTTTAATTCTTAGTTCATATCCAGAATGAATGAAACTCAGGAGACTGGGCGCCTCAAACTTGCTCGTGGAAGGCTGCAGTTAGTTTCCTGTCCTCTAATGCTTTTTATGAGTTTTAGTGGAACCCACCACTGATGTTGCTGTCCATGCTGACGCTGACTGCAGGTTACTACTAGCGGATTAGACCTTACCGTGATATGAGGGTTTGTGTGACCCCGCGGCCCACTGGGCTTTACTGGAGGGGATTGTCCGTGCAACGCTTGCAGAGTTTCCCGTGCCATGCTTGTCAATGGTCAGGTTTGACGAACAGTCTCCTGGGCCTTCAAGCGGGAACATGTGTGGTGACGTGTTCTGTAAAGGTGGTAATGCACCTGCACTCCACGCCAAACACCGTTGCCTTGCCGTCAGGCTTTTGAGCGAAGGGCCCTCAATCGTCCTCCTATCTGGGTTTGGGTGCCCGTGAATTACACACATACAAATAGTCTCGTGTCACATCGTTGCCCGATGTCATCAGGTGGATCGCCTTACTTGCCCTGTCTAAGCTTGGGCAACTTGGCAGTATCCCAGCTCTTGTGCTTCCTTCGGATCGCATGGCAGCTAGACACGAAAAGGGTGCTATAACTGACCGACTCCTTTTTCTACCTTGCTGTACACAGCAGGATGGGTAAGCGCAAACAGGTCACTGCTGAGCCTACCTTCTTTCTGTTTCACATACTTTTTCCTCCATCTCTTCCACCAGCACATTACAGACTTTCTCCTTGTAGACCTGATGTTGACTCCGTTCGTTCCGCATCAGGTTTGCAACCGACATTACACCATCCGGCGCTGACATCCTGCCTCGATACCCAGTCTCTCCGGCTGCTTTTAATGTTCACACCTTGAAGCAAGCAGGAAAACAAGCTGATCTTGCTCACTCACTGGATTCGCTTGACAGTGGTGTGTGCTGTGTATCAGAAACGAGATTCGGGATGCAGGCATTGCTCACTCACTGGATTCGCTTGACAGTGGTGTGTGCTGTGTATCAGAAACGAGAATTCGGGATGCAGGCACATTGGTTGAGCTAACTACCTCATTCTCTAATCGCTTCCTGCTGTGCACCTCTGTCGGTCCGGAGACCGCTGCAGCAGGATGTGCAGGGACTATCATCCTCACAGAGCGGAATGACTCTTGTTCGCCTGTATATACCCGTTGATGGTCGCCTCTTTGCAGTTCGTCTGGCGAAATCTATTAGGGAGTTTCACAAGCGGGAACTCGATCGCCGCCTGTCTGTCGTGCCTGCTTACACTCCAACCGACTGTAACTCTGACACCATCAAAAACAAGTTTTATGACGCTTTGAATGCACTGTTCCAATGAGCTAAAAGCTCCGATGTCGTAGTTGCCAGAGATCTGAATGCACAAGTGGACAGGCTTGGCGTATCTGAGACTGGATTAGGTGGTCGACATGGATTGAACTCGGTAGGTTCAGACAGTGACGAACGACTGCTTCAGCTATGTGTTGACCGCAGGCTATTTTTATGGAGTACTAACTTCCAAAATAGTCAAGGTCGTTTGAGTGACCATATCGAATAAAGAGGAACGCCTCGACCGGTGGGCTGAGTATTTTAAACAACAGTTATAGTGGCTGTCATCGTGTCAGCCATCTGGAGCCTACAGATGTCGTAAAACTCTGGATGGTGAATGTGGGATCCCCTTCGCCCTCGAAGGTTTATGACTGTATGTTCTCTCAAGCACCACAGAGATCCTGGTCCAGATGATTTCCCACTCGCATTGTTCAAAGATGGGGTGAAGTCCTCATTCAGCGCTTGTCTGCATTCTAGAAAAGGAGACTGACCCACACAAGTAAAGGCGGTGGTGCCAATTTGAAAAAAAGATGCTCGTATTGAGAGGAGCAACCGCATTTGATCAGCTTGACGCTGGTCGTAACGAAACTGTTGGCTTCACTTGTGTTTCGTCGCCTTATAGTGACTTGTGGAACACCGAGTCGAGAGCAGCAAGCAGGATTCCGGTCTGGTAGGGGTTGCGTTGATCAAACCTTCCCGCTAGTCAGGTGCCAAAACAACGCCATACGTACAAACGACCCACCATTTCCAAGGCACATTCGAC